CGGTCCTTTTGGATTCGATAGCTTGGTGAATATCGTACAAACTTTCATTCTGGTTCAAATATTAAAATATCATATAAAATATTGAGAAAAGTTCAGAAAATTCAAGTACCCAATCATAAATGCACTCGTTTATGTCATTCGTTCTTACAGCTTGCAGCTTACATTATAGATGTAATTTGCAACAATTGGAACTTCCAGGAATTTGAGTATACTTCATATCAATATTTGTTGAACAAATACTATTAATGACATATTATTAATAATTTTCTATTTATCTATGAAAAGGTAGAAATTCAAGTTCATATATTCAAACTGAAATTTGGTTCAAATACTTAAATAGAGAGAACTTCTATACATTTCTAAATTTCCTCGTAGTATTGCTTTTATATTGAACATATTAAATTCTGTTACTATCATTTATATCTGTAATATCTATTTTTCGTTTTACTAATCTGTTTAATGTCATTAATATATATAATATCTCTTTTGCTACAACATACAGTTAAAAGTACAAAAGGAATGTTTATTTAATTCTAATTGGAGCAAAAGTTACTTGTCAAGTATACTCAATCTCCTTTTGACATGATAATAGCAAACACAGAGTTGTACTGAAAATAAAGAAATAACAAATGCAAACAGAATAATATTAAAAATAACAATAAACAAAGTTAACAAGAAGTTGACGATAGAATTAATTATTGGAGTCGACAGGTGTCGTAAAAATTGATCTTCCAATTCACTGAATTCACTCACTTCTCAATCTGATAATTGTCTACAAATTCAAAATTAAATTCAATGGAATCCGGTGAAGTGCGAAATATTCCTTCCAAAACGATACTAATACAATAAACGTTCTAATATTGTGAAATACATACTTTCCTCTCCTCGAATCTTTTACCGTGAATCTTCATTCCCCTTGCGCTTCGTCTGATCAACGGCCTATTCTACTGCCCACTATGGCCAGGCAAGGTTCACGTATGAGCCCAGAGCCTAAGCGATCGAACTGATTTCAACTTTACGTAACATGCGTCATTCCATCGCTAATGACACGCAAGTTGTACGCTGTCTTTCTAAATTCTTTATTACGTAATGCACAGGGGATCATCATTGCGCAAGTGAACAAAGAGATTTACAAACAGCGTCGACCGATCGTGGAAATCATTCGTTATTCATATTACTCTCTCTCTTTCTCTGAGTGCCAGAAACCACTAACGCATTGCTTGAAATTCCTTTGTTGTTGTTAATGTACATTCTACTTTCTCTTAATGCTCTACAATTTTCAGTTAATTTATCAAATTTGATTAATTTATGTTCAGTTGAAATACTGAAATATATTAAGCTTTACATTTTTATAGAGAAATTAACAGGAGCTATTGAAATATTAAAAACTGCTACAAAGATTTCGCTATTTTCATCGTTAAATAAAGCTAATGTTAATTGGTAGTTAATTAAATAATACATGATTTCCGAAGAAGAAGTTCTAGAAATAAATGGTAGATCTACCATTGAATTATTTTATTAATAGTACGATTAAATTGCGGATACTTAGAGAAATAATTTTTGTTTTACAATTATTGAACCATCGTTATATAGTGAAATAATAAACGCAGACTTCTAACTCACTTTGTTCTTTCTTTTAACATACCAGAATTATGGAAAATATTCTACAAAGTACTTAAGGATTATTCTTCGTAATTTCAGGTATTAAAATATTATTTCGTGAATTAACTGTGACAAGTGGTCCTTTAGAATTGAAAGCCAAGTTACTCGGCAAGTTACATGCCAATTTCGCGCGTGAAACAAATATTTTTCATTTTCTCTGCGGACTTCCTTGGACCCGATAAAGCAAACTAAAAGCCAGGAACGTTATCTTTACGATCCGTATTTGCATAGTTTTCAGTAATACGTCCTCTGCAAACATCCTTATCACTGGTTTGTCGCCTGTCAATTTCGTCGACCCGCGCATTCTCCTTCAGCACATTTCGGTTTACTCGTTTCATAGATTTGAACGTGCTTTCGCTCCGTGTGTTTTCCCTTCGCAATCATTGTGATTAGCAGTGTTGTTATCAAGTCTTTTACTTTAGCGGCTGATTATAGTGCTTTAGTGACCAGACTTTGTCTCCATTTCACATCGCATTTCAACGCGAGAAACGCGATTCTCGAATGACCATTGTAAAAATGTTGCAGTGACCAATTATGAAAATCTTATTCGTCGATTTTCATAATTTGCAATTTAACTATGTTGTTCTCCCTGATTCATGCGATATTACGCTCTATTTTATAAACTCTCTCTCTTCATATTGCGTTACTTTGTTCGCAAGCCTGCGGTATCACAATCCTTTACGTTGTCGAAAGAAATCCTTCCGGGAAAGTTTTTTTTTTTTTTT